GAGCTGGCCGGCGCGCGGGCGCGGCCGCGCGCGGGGGTTCACGAACCTGCGCATGCTGAACTGGCGGGCGCGCGCGGGGCAGTCGCGTTCCCTTCTCTTCCATGCAGCCGGGGCGCCCCTAGTGGATCGGGGCGCCGTGGGGGTAGCGGCGCGCGGTCGGATCCCCGGAGTGCACGGGCGAGTTTGCCCGCGCGTTGCGCTTGCGCGCCTCGCAGAAATAGCGCGCGCGCGCCCGGCTGCCACTTGACGTCTGATCTTGCCCGCCGCGGCCTCAGAGGCCACGGTCGGGAAGCCTGCCGATTGGACGTCGCGCTCACGATCGCAATTCGCGAGATGCGGTCGCCGCAGACGGCGGCGTCGAGTCGCTCGGCCATTCTTCATGGGCAGATTCGGGCGTCGAAGCTGTCGCGGCCCGACGTGGACGTCGGCGCGTTTGCCCGGGCACCTGAGATTCGCGAACTGATCGAGGATCTCCGGAGCGTTGGAGACCAAACCGGCGATCTTCCTCAAGGTGCCTCCGCGACGATCTCGATGCCCAAGCTGGCGCTGGTCGCAGACCACCTTGCCCATGCGCACCGCCACCAGAACCCCTGGCCATGGCGGCCAATCGCAAAGCCATGGCGGGTCGGGCTGCCCGTTGACTGAATGGCTGCCTAGCCCGAGCCGTAGTTGTGCACGGTAACCGCATAATCGGCATTGGGTGGCCGCGCTCTCGTGGGAGCGCAGCCAGGCGAGTTCTGATCGTCGTTGAAAGTGGCCCCGCCACCGAGGTCGCCGTTGAGGTCATAGCTGGGGGCCGAATCGAAGTTCCCACCGGCTCTGAGGCGGCGGCGGATAGCTAGTCTGCCAGTCGCTAGTCCGCGACTCTTCTTCGCAAGCCGAATGAATAACGTCGACGCCGTAGTCGAGTGAGGTGAGGCGAGGAGCTCGTGGGCGGAGTCGAACGCGGCGGACTGCGATACTTGGACGCCAATCGTTTGTCGGTCAATTTCGGACTCGGACCAGCGAGCCTCGGAAACGCCGCGCTGGCAGACCTGCGGCAAGGCTGTCGGCGCCGCCGCCGCCGCCAAGGGCTGGAAGGCCGAGGAGAAAAAAGGCTAGACCAATGAGGTTGGTGCCGCAGTCGTAGCAATGGCCCTCGACGACCTGCTGGCGCGTCTTGGGCGCATGGCCCTCTGTCTTGTTATTAAGATTCATATCGCTATTCTTCTCCGCTTGGCACATGCGCTCCGCCGTCGGGCAGGCGCTGGCAGCGCAGTCACCGAACGCTCCCCGTGGCTGATCGACATCCCTTCTGGTTCTGACCCGGCCAATCGATTGTTGTTGGCCAGGTATCATCCCAGACTTTCGGCAGCTCGTGGCTGTTTTTTGTCCTGGCATTTCGGCCACTGCGGGCGGCGCATCGCCCCGGATTTCTGGCGTCGTCGCGGCTACGTTTTGTCCGGGCCTTTGGTGGTGAATCGTCCCAGACATTCGGCGTCGTCGCGGCTGCATTTTGCCCGAGCCTTTCGGCCGCTGCCGGCGGTGCATCGCCCCGGACTTTCGGCGTCGTCGCCGGGGCCGCGACGGGCGCGATGGGCGTCGTGCTTGCTGCGCGCCGTGCGGTTGACCGCGGGGCTAGAAGATTTGCGCGAGCGCGCGCGGTCCTCGGCGCGCTGCTGGGCGTCGCGCTTGCGCGTCGCCCAGAGACAAGAGTCCAGGGGATGTATTCGAGTCTGGCAAGCAGCACGCAGACTGCCGTCGGGCCCTGTTGGGAGCGCACTCTCTCGATGTGATTCTGCCGGTTCGAGCGCGACTGCGGCTATAGGTGCAAGTCGCAGCACTTCGCGGCATGTCAGGGTCAAGAACAGATGTCTGTTGGTGGTCGCCCTGTCGCCGGCGCGCTCCTCCAGCTGAATCTCGCGCAAATGCCCGGTTGCAGATGAGCGCCCCAGCGAGCGCCGCGACGACAGCGCCGCTGCGCTCGGCCTCCGAGACCAGAGGCGCCCGCGGCAATCCCGATGAGCACTGGAATGGGGCGCGCGGGCGCCGATCATCCGCCGCGCTGCCGGGCGTCTTCCTAGGGGGCCCTGCAGGCCGAATGCTGCGATCCTGGCGGCGGTGTCGACTGCGACGACAAACCGATCATCCGGTAGAGCAGCGCTCGCCAGGCAACGCGGCAACGCGGCGACGGTTTCGGCCGCCGCGGGGGCGAATTGGCGCGCGGCGGCGCGCGCCAATTTAAGCGGCCGTCGGAAGGGATTCGAAGCGCGACGCGCTGCCCGGCGATTGCGCGAGTTCTGGTCGAGGCGCCCCGGGGGCAGGGGCGGGCCGAGGAGACCGCCGGACGTCCTGCTGTCGCGCGGCGGGGTCTCCTCCGGCACTGCCGAATGGGCCGGCGCCGCGAGCGCCGTGCCCGTCCGCGCGCGACCCGCGCCAATAAAAAGAAAATCGGCGATGAGGTCGGCCGGGCCGCAGCGCGCCAGGCATCGCACCTCGTGGGCGTCAATGTCAAATGCAGATGGCGCGCCTGGTGCAATATGCGGCGGCACCGCGGGCGCGCCGCCGCCTCGCCGTTAGGGCGCCCCCTATCATCGCCAGAGGGGGCTGCGACTGGGGGTGGTCGGCAGGCGCCGCGGCCGACGCAGGGGAAATATTTACGTGGGTTTCTGTCCCGCGCTGCGCGGCCCGGCGTCGCGGCTCGCCCTGCTGCCGCGCGAGCTCGAGCGCCAGTTGTGCGCCGCGGAGCTCGTGGAGGCGCCGTCGCCGCGCGCGGTCGAAGGCGGCGCCCGCGCTGTGCTCGGACCAGCCGCCGCTAGACATCCAAGCGTCGCAGCTGGCGAACCGCGTGGCTGGCTCAGCTCACGTCGACGGGGCCGTTCTGGTCGAGCAGAGCCAGCCCCTGGGGAGACCCTGGCACTGGCGGCGGCGCGGCTGCCAACGCGGACGGCGGCGGCCACGTGGAGCTCGATCCAGATGGAGCGCTGACGCCTCGAGGGCTGAGACGGAAGGCAAGCGCGCCCAGCCCGGCAGCGAGCCCAGAACTCCAGTGAGCTCAGAGCGAGACCGAGGTCGCCGGCCCAATCGCGCCAGCGAGCTCAGAGCTCCCGGATGGAACGCGCCGCCCGCCCGCGTCCACCGCGGCGTTGGGCGCGGCGGCGCTCGCGAAGCTGCCGGAGCCGCCAGCGCCGCTGGCGCCGCTTCCCCCGCCGCCGCCGCGCGGGCCAGCGCATCAGTCGCACGGCCCGCCGGCGGCGCGGAATCCTGCGCGCGGCTCATGAGTCCCGCCATATCCCGCCGCAATCGTCGGCGCTCGGCGTCGCGAAGGTTGGGGGGGATGAAGACATGGGGGATGTACCAACCCAACTCAACCACTGGCTGCGGCCGCCTTGTTTCCAGGAGCCGTCTGGCGTCGCTGTCGGAGCGGCCGTCGCTGCTGGCCGCGCGCTGTTGTTGTTGGAGTAGGCTGTCCGCCGTTCCGAGGGCCAACGCCCTGCGCGGCGCCGCCTTCCTCGGCGCCCGCGACCGCGGGCTGCGGACCGAGGTGCCCCTGCCCATCCAGACCGCGCGCGCCCCTGGCAGGGGCCGCTGCTCGGACGGACCTAGCGGCCCCTGCTGCCCCAGAAACGCGAGCGGCGAGGATGGCGGCGGCGATGGTTGCGACGGGGCGCGGGCGCAAGGAAAGAGTGGGCGCCCGCGGCTGCGGCGCCAAGGGCAGACGCGCACGAGGCGCTCCTCAGAGTCGCACTCGCGGCATTTTAGACCCACCCCGCCGGGGCCGCTGGGGTTGCCCTGACGGCCAAATCCCATGCCACTGGTCCTGAACTCCCCTATACCTTCACCTGCGCCCTTCCTGAAGCCCGCGAAGGCTTCCCGGAGGTCGTTGTCGTTCTCGGACATCTGCCAATCGGGCGCGTTTGCCCATGCCTCGGCCGTTCGATGGTCCTCCAGACGCGGCGCGCGGGCACGCGGTTGCCAGCGCCGCGCCGGCGTGCGTCGGCGCGCTCGCAAGCCTAAGAGAGGACCCCACCGCGTTGTTCCCAGGGAACTCCACGTCGCGTAGCTCGAGATCATCTGCGGCAGGAGCTTCGCTGAAGGAAACGACGGCGTCGGCGTCGGCGCCTGGGTCAGCGCCCGCCGCTGGGAAGCCCCCCTGCGCCGGTGGCGCCGGGCTAGTGTCGCCGACGGCCGCTGGCGCAGGCGGGCCCGGCACCGCCCCCAACGCAGCTGGGCCCGCGCCGCCCCAGCTCGATTTTTCGACAGCACCGCGGGCGCTGCGGGCCCGATCTTCCGCGGTCGCGCACGCGAGAAAAGGGGCGCCCTGGGGCAGAGAGGCCAGCCGGGGCCAGGTTGCCTGGGGATCCCTCGGCCATGTGCCCAATGCGTCGCGGGGGGCCCGTGACGCGCGCGAGCTGCCGGGCGATCGTCGGGCAGTTCGCGTCGCGGCGCAACGAGATCACGGCCAGTTGGACGTCCGAAGCGACGGCGGCGCGCAGCGAGAGGAACCAAGCCCAGGTCAGTGCAACCCTGGCTCTGCAGGATCCTGCAGGATCCGGCGCTCTGGCCGACCCCCATTTGCATTGGCCCCCGTCCCTTGAGCCCCGAGACGTGGCAATGCCTCCTGCGCCGGGAAGGGCAGCCTCTCACGCCCCCCGGCTGTGCCGTGCCCCCCCTCTCGGGCGCCGCCCCTCCCCTCTAGAAGAACAAAGCGGCATAACGTACACTGTTGGCGCTCCGCACGGATTTCTTGGATCTGCGCTGGACCCCCTTCCTGGGGCGCGGAGCGCGCCAGGGGCGGCGCCGGAAGCGCCGCGGGGGGGCGGGGGCCGATCCGCGCGGAGCGCCGAAAGTTCATGTTTATGTATTTTGTCTTGCGTTTGTGTGTGTATGCTTATGTGTATGCTTGTGGCTAGATGTGCAAAATGTTGATGCCAAGTGCTGATGTTCTTATGCTCATGTTTCACGGCGTGTTCTCTTCCTCGACCCTCCCCGCCCCTCCCCGTGGGCCGAGGGCCGACGGCCCCTCCTGCGCAGGGAAGGCGACCTCCGGCGTCAGCGACAGGCCCTCCAGGCAGCTTGCCTGGCGTGGGGTGGGGCCCTCCCCCCAGCGCCGAGCCCGCGGGCGAGAGGAGGAGGGGGAGGATGAGGAAAGAGGAGGAAAGAGGAGGAGGAGGAAAGAAGAGGAGGAGGAGGAGGAGGAGGAGGAGGAGGAGGAGGAGGAGGGGAAGAGGAGGAGAAGAGGAGGCGAAAGAGGAGGCGGAGGATGGAGGAGGAGGAGGAGGAGGAGGAGGAAAGAGGAGAGGAAAGAGGAGGAGGAGGAGGAGGGGAAAGAGGAGAGGAGAAGGAGGAAGAGGAGGAGGATGAAGAGGAGGAGGAGGAGGAGGAGGAAAGGAGGAGGAAGGAGGAGGAGAGAGGAGGAGGAAAGGGAGGAGGGAAGGAGGGAGGAGGAGGAGGAGGAGGAGGAGAGGAGCTTCCCGGGGGAAGAGGGGGGTGAGGAACCACCTGCTTCTTCTCTTGTCCACTCCCAGACCTCATCCTCCTAACCCTCTTCCTCGTCCTCGTGTTCCTCCTCCTCCTCCTCTTTCCTCCTCCCATTCCTCCGTCTGCTCTTTGTCATCTTCCTCCTCCTCCTCCTCATCATCATCATGATCATATTCGTCCACCTCCGCATCATCAGTATCATATCCCTCCTCCTCATTATCATCATCCTCCTTTTTCAAATTCCCTCTCCTCCTCCTCCTCCTCCTCCTCATCGTCATCGTCATCATCATCATCAGCAGCAGCAGCATCAGCATCATCATCATCAAATCACCACCATCATCATCTTCACTCACCCTGGTTCCCTAAGTGGAGGAAGGAGGTGAAGCCCAAGGTGATGAGCAGGAAAGGGCGCATGGGGATGAGAAGAACGCGTGCCTACCACGTGCATAGGATGGGGATGTGTACGTCGTGCTGCGCATGTGACTCAAGAACAATGCCATTGACGAGCATGCGGAAGACCATCTCTCGCTGTCATTCGACACCACCGCCGCAGTCAGTCGGCCCCATCCTGGTCTAATAGAGAGAAAGAAGCACATGTAGGTCTGGCGGGCTGTTAGTTGTTTGCATCAATGCCAGGACAAGTGATGGGGATGACTACGTTCAGAAGACGGCGTACCTGGACGAAAAGCACACACACAAAACAAACCGAAGGGTGGCTCAAAACGAAACCTCAGGGAACCAGGGTGTCGACCAAGATTATATAGTTCACTGATGCGAATCACGACTTCACAGTAGGCGGCGAAACCTTGCAATCGTATGAGTTGACGGCTTACGAGGCACATCGCAACTTTGCATTCGCTTGTACACGCATGAGCAAGATGGACAACATTAGCAGGTAGAGCACACGGCTTGGAGACACTGGCTGCGTCAGTTGGGTCCGAAGACTGCCTCGGGTTGTCCGAAACATCTTACACACATTGCTGGGATGGATAGACCTCCCTTTAGTAAAACGTGGTTTAGTGAAAACGACCTCGGGCCCACACCTGGCGGGTGCAAGCCTGGAAAATGACGGCCGCGGCGCTCTGTCGAGAACCGAAAACGGACAATTCACTGATCGACATGTCACTGTTGGGGGTTCTGTCCACCCCCGAACATTACCAGATGGGATGGAGAAGAGGAGAACAGCTGCGCAACCACAACGTCAAAGTCTTCGATCAACCAGTGTTCACGCGTGTAAGCGAGCACATCGCGGAATCTAGCTAGTTTCTCCATGTCATCAAATACATACATAAGACGTATCTCGGAATGCAGCTCCAACTGAATGGACAAACGAATCAGGGAGTCCATCGTTAAAACGATGGAGCACAGAGGGTTAAAGCCTATGGAAGTCGACGGCGAGACTTCGATTAGACCCAGAAGCAACAACATTGCGACCAATTTTGAGATCTGCCCCGTGAAAAAAAGAGCACGCCACGTGATTCGGCCGCATCTGGCCTGTCGTTCTCGCTGCCAGAGCCAGAATTCGGGGATGGACAGACCTCTTTTTAGTAAAACGTGGTTTAGTGAAAACGACCTGAGGCCCAAACCTGGCGGGCGCAAGCCTGGAAAATAACGGCCGCGGCGCCAACTCGAGAGCCGAAAACAGACAACTCACAAATCGACGTGTCACTGTTGGGGTTGTGTCCACCCCCGAAGATTGCTCTCTGACCACGCTGCCACGAAGGGCTGCCCGGCAGCGCTGCGCTCCCCACTGCCGCTGGCCCTGCCAGTGCGCCTCCCCTTTTGCTTTAGGTCGGGCGTGCCCCCTCTACAGGCGGATTTTGGACGACAAATGTATAACATAGCCCGCCAATGCTCAAAAATTGCGAAAACAAATCCGCCGATCTGGCGTGTGAGTTTAAGACCGAATCTCTGCTTCAGCATGAGCTTTAGCTCTGCTTGGGAGGATGGAGGGAGGGGGAGGGGGACGTAATTACCTGACGAAATCTGTGCACGGCACCTCCCCCCACCCTGCCAGGGAGGGAGGGGGGGGGACGTAATTACCTGACGAATCATGTGCTCGGCACCTCCCCCCCCTTCCATTTCCCAGGAGAGAGGAGGAGACAGGAGAGAGGGGGAAGAGGAGAGAGGAAGGGGGACAGAAGAGAGGGGGGGAGGGGAGAGGCAGGAGAGAGGGGTGGAGGAGGGGGCAAGAGAGGGGGGGGGCAGGAGAAAGGGGTTGGGAGGGGGACAGGAGAGGGGGGGGAGGGAAAGGGGGGGGGGTCAAGCTAGGTGCGCTCGCGTCATATCTGACATCCTACCCCTCCCTTCCATGCCTTACCATGGCGTAGATCCCGTCTCTACTCGCACAGTCGGATGTCGAGCAGGGCAATGATCCCGGAAGGGTACGCGATGCATTGTAGAGCACGGCGTGGCATGGCGTAGAAGAGCATCGCAAAGTGTAGTATCAACCTAGTATTGCGTTGCACGCCGTGGCATGGCACTGGAAATGACGCCAGCGCTGCAGCGGGAGCACGAGTCGGAACGAAAGCGGAAGTTCGGAAATGAGGCCACCGCTGCAGCGGGAGCACGATTCGGAACGAGCGGAAACACGGAAATAAGGCCAGCGCTGCAGCGGGAGCATGATTCGGAACGAGCGGGGCCCGAAAATGAGGCCGGCGCCTCTGCGAGAGCAGCATTTTGGGAAAAAATGCAAGCGAAAACCCAACTCCGGGGAATCCTGTGTAAGAAACAATACGCAGGGGAGGGCTAATACTTTCAAACCGTCATCAGGGGAAGAGGGAGAGTAGTATTCATATTGAGTAATTGGAGGGGGTGGACAGGAGAGAGGGGGGGGAGGGAGAGAGGCGGGGAGGGGGGAGAAGAGAAAAGGGGGAGGGCGGGAGAGAGGGGGGGGGGGACAGGAGAGAGGGGGGGGGACAGGAGAGAGGGGGGAGGGGAAGAGTGGGGGGGGCTGGACAGGAGAGGGGGCAAGAGGAGGAGGGAGGGGCGAGGGGGAAAGGAGAGAGGGAGGGGGGACCGGGGGGACAGGAGAGAGGGGGGGGGGACAGGAGAGAGGAGAGAGGGTGAGAGGGGGGGGGCGCCGGGATCATCACCATCTCCATCACCATCACCATCACCATCGTCGCATCACCATCATCATCATCATCATCATCATCATCATCATCATCATCATCATCGTCATCATCATCATCAGCAGCAGCAGCAGCATCACCATCATCATCATCATCAACATCAACACGACGTTGGTCTATGGCTTCTGTCTGTCTGTCTGTCTGTCTGCATCAGCATCAGCATCAGCATCAGCATCATCAGCATCATCTTCACCAACATCAGCATCAACATCAATATCAACATCAACATCAACATCAACATCAACATCAACATCATCATCATCATCATCATCATCATCATCATCATCAGCATCATCATCATCCGGAGCGCCCCGGATCGGCGGCACTGGCCAGAGGCCACTACAATAGTCGAAGAATCGTCCCCGGACTATTTCATTTTACTATTTTTGAATCGATTCCCCCTGTGGAGGGACACGCCCGACTTAACTTTTGCTCCGCCCTCCCACGCCTCCCTCGCCTCGCCTTCCTCCTCTCCCCTCGCCTCGCCCCTCGCGCCCGCTCCCCTCTGGCTCCCCGGCACCTCCCTCCTCCTCCTCCTCCTCCTCCTCTTCTTCTGATGTGTATTATTCCTCTTCTTCTTCTGATTCCGTTTCTTCCTCTGCTTCCTCTCCTTCCTCTTCTCCCTCTTCTTCCTCTTCTTCCTCCTCCTCCTCTGCCTCCTCCTCCTCTTTTATTTCTTCTTCTTCTTCTTCTTCTTATTCTTATCATTATTATTCGTCGCATTATTATTCCTACTTATTCTTCTTATTATCAGTATCAGTGTTCGTCTTCTGGTTATTTTTATCATTATTATTCTTCTTATTATTCCTCTTATTTTTCTTATTTTTATTAGTAGTATGTTTCTTCTTCTTAGTGTTATCCTCCTTATCATTATTCTGCTTACTCGTATTCTCATGTTCATTATTCGTATTCGTCTTCTTACTCTTCTTCTTCTTATTATTCGTCATATTCGCCTTCTTCTTGTTGTTATTATTATTATTGTTATTGTTATTGTTAGTGTTATTATTATCATTATTATTATTATTACTAGTATTACTATTATTATGAATAATATTATTATTTGTCTTCCTCTTCTTCTTCCTCTTCCTCCTCCTCCTCCCTCCTCCTCCTCCTCCTCCTCCTCCTCCTCTCCCCCCCCCTCCCCCTCCCCCCCCTACCCCTCCTCCCCCTCCTCCTCTCCTCCTCTCCTCCTCCTCCTTATCCTCCTCTCCTCTCTCCTCCTCCTCCTCCCCCCCTCTCCTTCTCCTCCTTGGGGGGGGGGGACGAACTCAATGCCGCGGCCCGCTCGCAGGGAGCCCGGGCCCCCCGTGGGGGAGGAGGAGGAGGAGGAGGAGGAGGAGGAGGAGGAGGAGGAGGAGGGAGGAGGAGAGGAGTGAGGAGGAGGAGGAGGAGGAGGAGGAGGAGAGGGAGGAGGAGGGGGAGGAGGAGGAGGAGGGGGAGAAGGAGGAGAGGAGGAGGAGGAGGATGAGGATTGAGGATGAGGATGAGATGAGGAAGGAGGAGGAGGAGGAGGAGGAGGAAGAGAGGAGGAGGATGAGGAGGAGGAGGAGGAGGAGGAGGAGGGGGAGGGGGATGAGGAGGAGGACTGGGAGGAGGAGGAGGAGGAAAAAGAAGAAAAGGGCGAGGAGGAGGGGGAGGAGGAGGAGGAGGAGGAGGAGGAGGAGGAGGGGGAGGGGGAGGAGGAGATGCCCGGGGATTGTGGAGCCACTCGTCGTTGCCAGATGGTGTTTATCGACTAAACCGCTTCTTCACCCTTAAACGTTGTTTGTGTTTTAGTTGTTTTTTTCTTTTCGCCGTGATCCCGTCATGATATTACTATCTCGTTACATCGTTCTCTCTTATCATATTGTTTTGTTTTTGTGTTGTCTCTCTATCTCTCTCTCTTTGTCTCCATCTGTCGATCTCCTGCACCAGGCCAATGCATGCCGATGCGATACCAATACATTGCCAACCAATGCCAGTGCCAATGCAATGCCAATGGGGGAATCCTGATGGATGATGTCAGTCTGAATCCTTCTTTGGAGGATTCCAGTCAGCATGCTTCTGTGGAGGACTTCGATAGGGATCCTCCTGTGGACGGTTTCACTAGGAATCCTTCTTGTGGGAGAATTCACTCGGAATCCTTCTTGTGGAGGGTTTCAGTAGGAGTCCGTCTGCAGAGGGAGCCATTGGGACTCGCCAGCGCAATGCCAACGCAATGCCAAAGCAGTGCCATCGCAATGCCAAACCAATGCCAAGGCGACCCCAATCCAATGCCAATGCAATGCCAATGGGGAAATCGTTTGTGGTTGATTCCCATAGAGGAATCCTGCCTGACGAGGGTTTCGCTTGGAATCCTTATGTGGGCGGTTTCACTATGAATCCTTCATGTGGGGGACTTGTTGTCATATGAATCTTTCTGTGGGGAGCCATCAGAACTAGCCAGAGCAATGCCAAAGCAGTGCCAACGCAATGCCAAACCAATTCCAAGGCGATCCCAATTTAATGGAAATGCACCGACAATGGGGGGGAATCGTTTGTGGTTGATTTCAATACCAATGCTTCTCAGAACCCTTCTGTGGATGATGCCATCCACAGAGGGATCCTTCTAAGAACCCTTCTGCGGGGGATTTCAATAGGAAGCCTTCTGTGGAGGTCTTCGCATGGAACCTTTCTGTGGAGAATTTCAATGTGAGTCCTTCTTGTGGGGGGGATTCATTCGGCATCCTTCTTGTGGGGGTGTTCAATAAAATCCTTATGTGAAGTGTTTGATTCGGACTCGCCAGCGCAATGCCAGCGCAATGCCAATGCAATTCCAACGCACTGTCCATGCGATGCCAAGCCGTTGCCAAACCACTGTCAATGCAATGCCGATGGCGGGTTTCCTGTCTTTCAACAGATTTCAATAGGACTCCTTATGTGGATTATTTGGTGACGAATCCTTATGTGGAGGATTTCGATAGGAATCCTCCTGTGGAGGGTTTCGATTGGAATCCTCCTGTGGAGGGTTTCACTATGAATCCTTCATGTGGGGGCGTTCAAAAGGATCCCGTCTTGCGGAAAGTTTTCATCGAAATCGTTGTGGGGGGAGCCATGAGAACTCGCCAGCGCAATGCCAACGCGGTGCCAACGCACTGCCAAACCAATGCCAAGGCGATCCCAATCCAATGCCAATGCAAAGCCAATGGGGGGAAATCGTTTGTGGTCGGGTTCAACAAGAATCCTTCGATGGATGGCTTCGAATAATCCTCCCGTGAGTTCAGTATTAACCCTTCTTGTGGAATGCTTCAATCGGAATCCTTCTTGTGGGGGTTCGATAGGAATCATTCTGCGAAGGGAGGTATCGGAACTCGCCAACGCAATGCCAAATCAGTGCCAACGCAATGCCAAGGCGATCCCAAACCAATGCCAATGCAATGCCAATGGGGGAAGTCCTTTGTGGTAGATTTCAGTCGGAATGCCTCTGTGGAGGGCTTCGGGGGTGTCAATATGAGCCCTTTTTGTGGACGGTTTCAATCGGAGTCCTTTTTGTAGAGGGTTTCAATAGGAGTCATTATGTGGAGGGTTCCATTGGGACTCGCCAGCGCAATGCTTGCGAAATGCAAGCGCAATGCCAACGCACTGCCAAGCGCAATGCCAACGCAATGCCAATGCGATGCCAAACCATTGTCAAACTAATGCCAACGGGGGGGGGTTCTTTCTTCCGAAGCATCTCAATAGCAATCCTTCTGCGGGTGATCTCAATTGGAATCCATCTGTGGAGGATTCCAATCGAAATCCTTCAGTGGAGGGTTCCGACCGATAGGAAACCTTCTGTAGACGATTTCACTATGAATCCTTCTTGTGGGGGTGTTCAACAGGAATCCTTGTAGGGGGGGGGGAGGGCAGACGAGGCCACGTCGGATTCCTTGTGTTTTCGCCGCCGACCCCCCCCCGAGAAAACAAATAAATGGGCGGCCGCGCCGCTTTTTTTTGTTTGTTCTCGGGGGGGGGGGGGGAGGACGAACAAAAAAGGTTTTGAGAGAGGAGGAGTTGGTGGAGGAGAGCGAGAAGGAGACAGAAAGAGAGAGAGAGAGAGAGAGAGAGAAAAAAAAAAGGAGAACGAGAAGGAAGAGGATCACGGCGAACTGCAATAATGAAACAAACTATCACAATTGATAGGCAGAGAAGCATTTCACTCGATAAAAACCCGATGACAAGAGCGAGGGGCTCCACAGTCCCCCGTTCTCAAGGAGGGGGAGGGGGAGGGGGAGGGGGAGGGGGAGGAGGAGGAGGAGGAGGAGGAGGAGGCGGAGGAGGAGAAGAAGGAAATGGATGAGGAGGAGGAGGAGGAGGAGGAGGGGAAATGGGAGGAGGAGAAGGAGGAGGAGGAGGAGATGGAGGAGGAGGAGGAGGAGGAAGAGGAGGAGGAGGAGGAGGAGGAGGAATCAGCCGCTGTTGGGCAGGCGGCCTTCTGTCTCGAATGGGCACAGGCCGCGGCGGCGTGGACAGCGAATCCTGTTCGAAATGAACAGGAACTGCTGTTGGGCATTGTACCCATTCTTTCCGTACATACCCATTTCGGGCGTCCAGAGCCCTGGGCTGCGGCGGAGGGGCCACCCGGACTGGATGGTTGCAGGTCTGCGGCAGCAGAGCCAGGAAGCCCAGCACACGTCTCTCGCACGCGGGGGCAGTTCAAGTGTCTGGCGCATCGACTGGGAACTCCCCCCCCCTAGGCGCCTTTACCTCGTCACCGACCCCTCCCACTCCGTCGCCGCCGCCGCCGCCTCCTCCTCCTCAGCATGTCTCCCAGTCACAACGGAAGATTGAAGGGTCCCAACCTTTTTCGACCGCCCCCGCTCTCTCCTTGACCAGCGCCACTCTGGTATGGCACCAAAACTTCTGGAACTCCAGGCTGGGCGATATAGATGCTCGGCCTGCTGGTCCATTGCACTAGATACGTGTTCCCTCGCCTCCACTTGGTGCCCCACCCACAGGGGAATGGCCATCAGATATGGCGTGTTGTACAAATTGTGTGTTTGTAATCGACATGGGTTTCATTCCATCCGCCATGATGTCAAATCGCGTGAAAGATGCCCGTCCCACCCGCAATCGCAGGCCTCCATGTGCCGGCTTTGGCGGCTGCGTGAGGGGCGACACCCCAGGGAAGGCAGTGTTTACGCCTTCTCCAACGCGCGCGATACTTATTTCGGGCACCCCTCTCGCCAGCCTCTGCTGCAGGACATGGAGTGGGCAGCGTGGGATGACGAAGTGATTTTCGGGAGCGGCCAAGAGGGGGGTGTCCAAGAGGGGGGGGTGCAAATCATGGCCGGCGGCATGTGCGCGGCCCAGCGGGGGGGCCAGGGACGTAATGAAGTAAGAAGAGGCGCCAGGAAATCTGGGGAGATACCATGGCCCCCGCCATGATATCCACCCCCCCTAGTCATCACCCCCCTCTTTTCCGCCCCCGAGATTTGAGGATGATCAAATAATAGGGTGGCTTGTTTCGCTCACGCGTCAAACTGGACGCCGCGAGACTGGCTCGCAGAGCGTTGAGCCTCAGATGAATTGAGCCGGGACAGCGGCGCGCGGAGCCTCTGGCCAGCCTCTGATGCGAGGCATGTAATGGGCTGAGAGGTATGTGGCGTGCATGGGAAGACGAGGTGGCTGGAGGATGATCACAGACAAGGGATGATCGTGTCCAAGCATATGCGCTGCATCTGTTGCATCGGCCACGCGGCTGCGACGAAACTGGGCCACACTTTGCTGGCGCATCTTGGTTCGAGGGCTTGGTCGACAGATCAGCTGTGCCCTTGGCTGCTTCACCTTGCTTTGCCCCTTTTCTTTTCCATGCGTTCTCGGATGGTCCTGGGCGGATTCCCCCCCCCCCCCCCCCCCCCCCCCCCCCCCCCCCCCCCCCCCCCCCCCCCCCCCCCCCCCCCCCCCCCCCCCCCCCCCCCCCCCCCCCCCCCCCCCCCCCCCACCCCCCCCCCCCCCTCCTCCCCCCCCCCACCCTCCCCCCCCACCCACCCCCCCCCCACCCCCCCCCTTCGTGGATTCCCCCCCCCCCCCCCCCCCAAACAGCAAAAAAATCTGCATGACTCCCTCCCCGCCCTCCTCCACCTCGACTTCCTCTCCTCTGCGAACTTCCGATCCCGCGCTCACCCCAGCAGGTCGGCCCCGCAGCGAGAGCGTGTGCTCCGCAAGGAGAAGCAGCTTGGCGTCGTGGTCGAGCTCGCGAGCTGGGCACGGGGGGGACGATACGAAACGAGCTTCCAAGTTCTTGGAGGGAAATGGAGGGGGGAGGGGAGGGGAGGGGGGCGGGAGACGAGGGGAGCAGAGGGGCGAGAAGGTGACTGGGAGTAGGGGCGGGAGGAGAGGGAGGAAGAACATCAAAGAGGGCCGGGGAAGGGCTGCGCAGACGGTCCGGGCGAGCGGAGCCCCCGGAAGGGCGCCTCGGCGTCGTGCGGTGCGCCTGTGCCCCCCAGAGGGAGCCACGTGCCGCACCTTCCCCTGGACCAGCAATTCTCCCGTATGCAGCCACTGGCCTTCCCGTCCAGGGGTCCCTCCACCTGGGAGCCGAGAGCGGGGGACCGGCTGCTTCCCGCAAGCCGTGCCTCCTCTGGGCCCCCTTCGTCACGCAGGTCGTCCAGGAGGCACCTCCTCCTCCTCCTCCTCCTCCTCCTCCTCCTTCCTCGTTCCTCCTCCTCGTTCCTCCTCCTCCTCCTCGTCCTCCTCCTCCTCCTCTCGTCCTCCTCCTCCTCCTCCTCCTCCTCCTCCTCCTCCTCCTCCTCCTCCCCCGGCTGGGGTCTCCCTCTCTGGGAGTCGTGATCGGCGGGTTCTTCACCCACCACAGAGGGTTCATTCCATCATCGTTGGTGACTCTTGGGTTTACACTGGTCCTCCTCCTCCTCCTCCTCCTCCTCTTCCCTCCTCCTCCTCCTCCTCCTCCTCCTCCTCCTCCTCCTCCTCCTCATCCTCCTCCTTCCTCCTCCTCCTCCTCTCCTCCTCCTCCTCCTCCTCCTCCTCCGCCTCCCTCTCCCTCCTCCCTCCTCCTCCTCCTCCTCCTCCTCCTCCTCCTCCTCCTCCTCCTCCTCTGGCTGGGGCCCTTCACCCACCCCGGAGAGTACTGAACAGGCCCGCGCGTTGGTGCGGCGGCTCCGCGTCGTTCGGGGGGGCTGCACGGCCCTGCCGCGCCTCTCGCTCGAGTCCGGGATCCAAAAGACAGCGCAGGCGGAGAACGGCGGAAAACAGAAAACTGCTCACGGAAAACGGAGGAGGAGGAGGAGGAGGAGGAGGAGGAGGAGGAGGAGGAGGAGGAGGGAGGAGGAGGAGGAGGAGGAGGAGGAAGAGGAGGAGGAGGAGGAGGAGGAGGAGGAGGAGAGGCCGGCCCGACCCACTGCGCAGGCAAGCGGCGGCGAGAGCCCTGGCGCAGCACGCGCTCGGCCGAAGGGGCAGCCGCGTGCACCACCGTCACCACCACCACTGCCACCGCCACCCTGGAGGGAGGGAAGGGGGGGAAGGAAAGGCGGAGGGGGCGAGGCAGGGAGGTCGTCGTTGAACGGCGGTATGGCCGAGGTTCGAAGGTTCAGCTGGGAGGCTGCGCGGCACAGAAGACCGCTTCTGCCACCAGCCAGCCCGAATCCCGGACGGGGTGGGAGGGATGGAGGAAGGAAAAAACGTGTGAGGAGGAGGGGGGAAGGAGCTACCTGGAGGAAGGACGCGGGGGACAGCAGCGAGACACATGCAGCGTCCCTGGAGGCTTGAGCACCCCGAGGCCGGCTTTAGGGCTGGCCGGGCGTTTCGCCTGAAACTTCCTCACCACTTCCTCACCATGTATGACTCTGTAGCCCAAAAATTAACAACAGCTTCCCAGACGGAGGGCGGGTGGTTTTCAAAATGTGGCTCTCGCCTTAGCGCGGCGCGCCTTCGTTGTAAGAACTTGTAAGAATTCACGGATTGAGGGCGGGTCGTTTTCCAAATGTGGCTCTCGCCTCAGCGCCGCGCACATTCGTTCTAAAACTTTGCAAGAGCTTCACGGGTTGAGGACGGTTCCTTTGAAATTGTGGCTCTCGCCTTAGCGCGGCGCACATTCGTTTAAAACATTTGCAAGAGTTTCACGGATTGAGGGCGGCTCCTTTTCAAAATGTGGCTCTCGTCTTAGCGCGGCGCACATTCGTTTAAAACATTTGCAAGAGTTTCACGGATTGAGGGCGGATCGTTTTCCAAATGTGGCTCTCGCCTGAGCGCGGCGCACATTTATTGCGAAAAACCGCAAGCGTTTCACGGATTCAGGGGGGTCCTTTTCAAAATGTGGCTCTCGCCTGAGCGCCGCGCACTTTCGTTTAAAACATTTGCAAGAGTTTCACGGTTTAGGGCGGCTCCTTTTACACATGTGGCTCTCCCCTGAGCGGGGCGCACATTCATTTCAAAAATTCGCAAACCTGCTCAATAGTTTCACAGATTCCCATCATCAACGTACCAGAAGAAAAATGTTATCGAAAGATTCAGGGTTACGCGGGTGCATCAGCTACGTTGATTCTCTGTGTTGAAGTCCTAGGAATGGCGTTCTGGCGCGATTCAGGATCGTCAAGACGCAACAGTCAGGTTGATCCATGGCGTTGGAATCCCGAGAACAATGTTTGGGCATGCTTCAGGGTCTTCACACGGGTGTCTGACCGGGTGTCTTCCAACGAGCCAGTTCCATCAATCCCACCAGCCCTCTGGGCGTGAGTGGTTTAGCGAGCTCTCTCTGTTCTCAACCCCCCTTCTTCCCCTTCGGGGAGGGGTTTACCCCTCCCCCTACCCCCTCCCCCTGGGCCTGGAGAGGGCGTTTCGCGGGTGGTTGGAGGGGTCTTTTTCGACTCCTGGGAGGGCTGAAATTCGATACCCCTCACGAGGATTCTGGCCCCGACGGGGGGAGGCAGAAAAAACCCGCCCCATCTGTGATCGATCGCCCGAAAGATGGCCCCAAGATACCTCCCAGACCCCTCCCAAAGAGCCCCAAGAGGCCCCAAGAGGCCCCCAAGATGCCCCCAAGAGGCCCCCA